CGGCATACTGTCCTGACTGGAGGCCGATTGGAGCTTTCAGCAAGTCGTCCGGAATGCCAAAAGAGTCAACGAGCTCCTTCGCCATGCCCCTGGCCTCGTAGCAGAGGAACTCCACAAGGCGGTGAATGGCCTGAAATGCGAAGGACATATGTTAGCTCGGTGGAATGTCCACAGGGAATTTTGGCAAGCTAAAGCTGGAAAACTCAGTCAGGCAGGGAGTGAAAGGGAACAGAAGGGGCAGAGGGGTATGGCCCGTTTGGGAGGTGATATGGAAGATTACCTTGGCTTTGTTGGGCGCAACATAGTCCTCATTCCTGTACGTTCCAATGTCACCCCAGATGCGCTCCAGCGCATACAGATCACACATGGTCTTCAGTGCTGACTTGCATGCCTTGTCCTCGCATCTGAAAGTAACAGCAAGACATGTTTAACTTCCTAAAATGACGCCAAAAAAGAGAGTTTAATTAGTAAAACGAGCTCACCTCTCGACTGCCTTGATGAACCTTGCCAGGATCACTGACTCGACATGGGACTCAGCAAGGACCAGCAAGTGGTTGAGACAGCGGTTCCAGGCTTCGAATGACCCCATTCGCCTTGAGTGCTTCCGCAACCGAAGCGCTGCCGTGTGAAGCAGCTTCGCGGTGCGGTACTGCATACGGGAAGGTGAAGATAAGAAAGGTTTCAGGAGGAACAAAAATAAGCTAGAGTTGACTGCGTGAGAACGTGGCAGTGGCATTGGGTGCTTACATGGTCGCAGAAAACACTCACCTGGAAGGCATCGAGCTGGAACTGAGGGTCCCTCAAGTGCGATTGACCTTCACGGTGAGTTGTCACCGGGTTGGTCTGAGAAAGGTACGTGCCCATAGAATCACGGAGGTAATTCCAGCCCACTGAAAGAGCACCACCTGAAAACTTCTCCTTGTAATGCTTCAGAAGGTCTGCTGCTACCTGCATTGATCGTGTTATAAAAGAAATTGTCAAATCCAGATACTCATAGACATACTAACTTTCGTTAAGAAGTATGTAACATACCTGCTGCAGCAGCACAGTGTTATCGCCCTCGAACGTTTGGAAAATGTCATGGTCATTGCGCATCCGGCCAAACCTGTTCACCGCAGCATAGCCATGGCCTCCGCATGCCTCCCTGGCATAGTGCAAAGGATTGGAGAGAACGTTTAAGACGTTGAGATACTGATGCGCCTACATAAGTGAAGAAAAAGAAAGAACAAACAAAAGTTATCACTGTACCTGCATGTGCTGATTGCAGCCTGGGTGTAGGACGTGACATAAGCCTTAAGACCGGCAGAAAGGACGTGGACCTCTGACACCAGAGCTTCATCCTTGGTTCGCTTCATTTCCGCATACTGCTGCACAAGTTCATTTGTTGCGAAATGGAAAGCATACGCTGATGCAAGCATCGGCATCAGGCGCTGCTGCTGCGACTGGTAGTCAAGAATTGCAATTTCAGGCTTGTTAGGCGGCCCGAACTGCTGTCGCAGGAGGGAATAGCGCACAGCAATGGTTGATGCTGCTTTCAGGATTCCCACAGAGCCAAACGCAAGACCAACTCGGCCTCCGACGAGTTCTCCCAGCGTTGCAGCGAACCTCTTGTTCGCACTTGAAATTTCACTGCATTCCACATATATCAGCATGAGACAAAAGCCAGAAAGCTGCCAAAGCCTTTGAAACCGCAAAAAGGAAAACGTACCTGCTATACTGGCCATCAGCAGAGACAGTGCCAAATCTGTCCAGCATGTCCTCTCGCGGAATCCGAACGTTATGGAATCGAATAGCTCCGTTGTCAATCCCATTCAAGCCAACTTTGTAACCGCAGTCTCGGATCTCAACTCCTGGAAGAACGCTGTTGTCCTCCAAACTCCTGTTAAGACACAAAATCCTAGTTAATAACAAGTTATAGAAAAAACGAAACAAAAGCCAGTGGAGACGTACCTCAGAGGGACAATGAAGGCATGCACACCCAGGTCCTCCAGGACCTTTGATGTTGGGGACGGAAGCCTCAGCCGTGCGAACACTGTTGCGAACTTGCCATGGCAAGCAGCGTTGCCAATCCACCACTTTGTAGCGCCCTCATTCGGCGTGTTGATGATGAACTCGTCCGTTGACCTGTCAAATGTTGCTGTTGTTTGGATCCCTTGGACGTTTGATCCTGGGAGAAAGGAGAAATCGGCATTAGTGAGGGGACCAAGGGAGAAGGGAACACGAGAGAAAAAAACGAGGGCTATAATAATACGGCTTGTGCCTTACCGTGGTGAAGCTCGGTCATGGCAAAGCATCCAGGATACTCAAGGCTGTCGATTTTGTCAAAGTACTTGTCAAAATGACGCTTCGTTCCCAGATTGAGCACACTCCCGCCCCAAAGACTGCAGTAATGAAAATCGAAGCATCGTAAGATGGAAACACTACGTAGCTGTAAGTCAACTTCTTGAAAAATGGCTTACCTGTACTGTACTCCAGTTTTGATAGCAAGAGATAGGTCGATGTGGCCAATAGCTTCTGAAATGGCGAAATATCTCGTCGGATCCTCAACAAGTGCTTGAAGAGGCCTAACATTGGCCTCTCTGACAAGGCCAAGCATCTGCTGAAGAACCAGCTCTCTGTGTTTGTCCTTAGAAATCTCGACGGGAGTTTCCAGTTCTGGATGACGCTTGAAAAACCGATAGACCTGGTCCTTCACAGCTTGATGAGGACCGGCCATATAATCTGCGAGCACAACGGCGCTCAATGGGCGCCGAACCAAGGACCTGGCACATGACTCTGCACTTAACTGCCTCGTTCCGTCCTCGAGAACTGTTGAAGCTTCAAGATGGTTTGCAAGAACTTGAAGCCTCATTGACGCAGCTGCAGCGATAGCTCCCTCCGCAGGCTCCATTATCGACAGTACACCGAGAGCAGACAGAACGGAGGGCTTTCCAACACTTTCGCAAGTCTAAACTCTAACTAAAGTAGCAGCTGGCTGGCTGCAGGATAACTCCCACACCCCAAGCCTTTCTACCCGACAGTGCCGGGAGTTCTGATGGGTCCAGCTTCCGTCGGGACAGGATTTTCCCCACATCATCACCAACCAACCTACGATGAACTGGAGTCGAGGTGGACACTGGTCACTGCCCAGGCAGCGCGAATTGGAGGATGACTTCTTGGTGGTCCAAGATGACTCGACAAGGAGTCATATTCAGGGCAATCCACCGCATTTCAAAATGTCCTCCCTAAAGAGCTCCCTGATTTGCCATTACGCCAGCTAAATATGCCCTTGATATAAACTCACTTCCATAAGCAGCTAAATACTACGGACATATGGACAGCAAGCCAGCCTCCTGTATATTACAACGGTATGATATGGAACACGGAGACACACGAATGCAAATTAGCATCAAACATCTCTATAGTACAACAGTGGTTACGGTATAACATGCATAGGCACAATAATAAGGAACAACAAATTAGATTTGATATAAAATCTTATGTTAGAAACAGGAACGCAGATTGAAATGTAAAGAAAGCATGTCGATAAAAGGCATAAGAAAAAATCATAAGGAGCTCATACACAAACGTATATTCAAGCCCATACTGACAGCTCCTTTTGTTAGACGTTTGTTAGGGCTACTGGGAGCCGATGTTGATTGCGTCGCTTTTGATTATCAGCGTGATGTGGTCGTCCTCGTTATCATTCTCAAACTCGTGTCAGAAGCGAAGTAATTTGGGCGAATCAGCGATGAGTAACGAGCGCTTATCCAGCGAACCTTTTCGCCAGCCTCGCCCAATCAGGCAACCTCTTTCGCCACCAGCAGACCAAGATCTGGCGATTCTGCTCATTTCGGCCCGGAACAAACTGGTCCGTTCGATCCAAGATTCCTCAGCATTTTGCTGCAATCTCGACACCTTTCGCGCGAGGTTCCCACAAAATCCCCCAAAACTGCGCTTTCCGCAGCCTATCCGTTGGTTGCCAACCGGAAGGGGGGGAAGAGCTCCGCGAGACCCAAAGTGTTGGCGGACCTTCAGACATGTGTCAGCGATTTTGGTGGAGCTCTTCCGCCACCTCGCGGGTATTTTAGAACCAACCGTTGGCCCTGGATTGGGCGATGTCGCTCACGATTTTCGTGAACACGATGATGCCCGTGTAGGCTGCTTGGACGATTAGCTTTTAGTTTCGCAAAATATTCGCCACCCTTTTGCGGAGAACCGGCGTTCCGCACGCTGGTAAACTTAGCGCGCTTTTGCGGCAAAGCGCGATGCGCCAACCTTGTCGGCGAGATGAGAATCCTTTCCCTGCCGTCAGCCCAACCTCGGGATTGGCGGTGACTTCTCTGGGTTGTGCTGAACCTTGCCTGAGATCGACAGGGTCGAAACCAAATCAAGGACACCCCGTCAACCTTTCCCAACACATTTTAACCGAACTGAAACATTGATTGCCTCTCTTGACCATTGATTTGAACCCAGGCAGAGAAGGCAGTGTGGTTCAGGCAATGTTGAGTGAGCAAGTTGGACCCATTTTCCGATTTCTCCACTCTCTGCATTTTCGCCGGTCGTGCTCCTCTCTCATTCTCCTGCATATGTCGACAAGCATCTCAGGCTTACGGATGATTCTCCTTTGTTCGCCAGCCAACTCTACACTCTGTCCGTTAGTCATAAGCACGGACTCTGAGCCGATCGTCACCATCAGGAACAAGTTTCGACCCTAGAAACGAATTTCGTCGTCAGTAGCGATCTTCTTGGTCAACAGAAGTGTTCTCTCAGTCAGCAGCATCACTTTATTCTGTTAGCTGCGATTTTCCTCGTCGGTAGCAGTTTTTGCCGTCAGCAGCTTCGTGCTTTACTGGTCTCAACAATCAAGCCTACCGTCAGCGGAATTTGCGATAAGAAACGATTTTCCTTCTCATCAACAGATTTCGCTGTCACCAGCAACGATTTCTACGTAAGCTGCAACGATTCTCGCTGTCGAAAGAGATGCTCGACGTTCCCAGCAATCTCTGCCGTCAGCAGAGATGTTTTGCGGTTTGAAGCGATTTTTGCCATCAGCAGCAACTTTTTCTAGAGTCGCCTCTGCTACGTCTTCACGATCACGTCTGATCGCCTCAACCAAGTTCGAAGCTCGCGATGCGGTTAAGCAGAATCGCGTGGCGAAGCGGGATCGTCAGCGTAGCTGTGGCTAAGCGAAATCGCGTGGCGAAGCGGATATTCATGGAGGAGCGGTTCCACCTCGAATCAAGCTTTCCCTGCATCAGGTGCGTTGCTACAGCCGGGCTGTTGAAATTTACCACGTTACATACGTTTCGCCATCCGGTTCCAGCCGGTTCTTAATCGAAATACTTCTCTAATTGATATTTTGCGTTTGATTGCGCAGAATCCAATCAAACCGCGCTGAAGCGAGGGGACAAAACCGCAGAGAAGCATCATGGCGTGGTGTGGAGGCGAAACCGCTGTGGCGAAATCGTGGCGCGGAGGCGAAACCGCGGAGGGAGGAGCATGGCGCTGAGCTCGCAACACCTGGCAGCCACGCTTCACCTCTCCCTCACTGCGCCACCCAGCAGCACGTCTTCAAGAGCTAAGTGCATGCACGACCCTTTCCAGTCCATGCCTTTCATGTTGTGTCACAGCTAAGTGTTTGCACGTTGTCACACTGAAGAGACCTCACTCCCCCAAGGTAGCAGGTTCAAAAATTTGGTATAGCCTCAGGTATTTCATTGAGTGTGGTTCACCTGGTACGAGGTCTCTTAGGTGTGCCACTGCAGCAGTCTATTTATGCACGCATCACTTGCATTTGCTACACCCTTCACTCTCATTCCATTCTGCTGCTTCCCCTTCACATCCTGTCCTTTCCTCTCCCCCTCTCGGCCCTTTCTCTTTCTTACCAGGTCTGCAACTTCTCATCCCAGAAGGTCTCTCACACGGGAGATGGAGTGGTGGGGGACATGGAGTGCACAGGCAGCAGCTGCTCTCCACCCAACCCACCCACAGCTAAGTACCTGCCCTGCCTCTCTACTCCCAGCTCTCGCACTCTCTTGCTTGCACGATGCATCCAACTCCCGTCTTTACTGTTCTCTGTCACACTCAAGAGACCTCCCTCCCCTAAGGTATCAGGTTAAAACTTTTGGTACAGCCTCAGGTATTTGCTTGTGTGTGATTCAGCCGGTACGAGGTCTCCTGGGTGAAGGCAGTATTTGCCTTCACTCTTGCACTCATTCGCTCTCACTTCACGCACTTGTCTTCGCCTCTTTACTCATCACCCTCCTTTTCTCCCTTATCACAACTCCGTCCTCTCGCCATCCTCCTCCCTTCCTCTTTCTGTCCCGATTTGCCCGCTCTCATTCCAGAAGCTCACTCACACGCCAGTAGCAGTGGCGGGGGAACATGGACTGCACAGGCAGCAGCTGCTCTCCACCCAACCCACCCACAGCTAAGTACCCGCCCTGCCTCTTGCTTTCATTTCGTTCCACTTCAGTCCTTGCTGCTTCTCTGTCGCTTGTGCATTCAAACGCAAGCCGCTGGTTGAGCCAAAGCTTCAAGCCGCAGACCTGTTTTTATAGGTAATTTCCCCCAGGTACTGCAGGTATTCTCTCAGGTCTGCAGGTAAGCCTCCCTAGGTGTGTACCTCTCTTGGGTCTGTGGCTTGTAGCTGAGGCTGCACCAGTGGCCCCCTTCTCTGCTCCCCACATGCCATCTCATCCACTCCTCTCACATTTCTACCCCTAGCCGTTTACTCACTTCTCTTCCGCTCTCTCCTTGCCGGTTGAGGGGAGGGGCGTGGGGGTCAACACCGCCACTCCCTCACGCTCCTCCCCTGTGGCTGTGCAGGTACCATGGGGATGGGAGGGAGGCAGCACTGCCAGTCGCTGCCACAAGGGAGAGTATCGGGGTGGGCTTGGCCTCTCAAGGTATGTCGCTTCCTCTCTTTACCCTCATCCCTCTCCCTTTCTGCTCTTCAATTCCACCTTCTCGTTTTTCCCTTAGCTTCAGTTTGTTTTCTTGCTAGTCATGACAACTCACGTGCTCTTCCTTCCCCCCTTTCTTCCCCCCTTACCAGGTCACTTGGCATCGAGTGAAGACTGCAGTGGTGCTTCAGCTGCCCTCTGCTCGCTCTCACACAATCAGCTAAGTGTCCCTTCCTCCATGCCCTCGCCCTTGCTGCTGCCATTTCGTTTTTCGCATCTGCTGTCGCACCCTTCCTCTTGAAACAGTGCCACTGGTTAGGTCCATCTCACATGCCACAGACCCCCCTCAGGTGTAGATCTGGTGCAGGTAACCCCTTCAGGTGCAGGTAACCCCTTCAGGTGCAGGTACTTTCTCAGGTTCACCCCTTGGGGTCTGTGCTTTGTGGCTTGGCCTCCACCAGTGGCCCCTCCCTGCTCTCGCCTTGCAAACTCTCTTCTCGCTGTTGCACTCTCACCCTTCCCCCCCTCGCTGCCCACTGACCAGCTCTGCGTGTGTGCCTTGCAGGTGGAGGGGAGGGGCGGGGGTCAACACCGACGCTCCCTCACGCCCCTCCCCTGTGGCCGTGCAGGTACCCGTGGGGATGGGAGGGAGGCAGCACTGCCAGTCGCTGCCACAAGGGAGAGTATCGGGGTGGGCTTGGCCTCTCAAGGTACGTCAGCCTCTCCTCTCTGCCTTCATCCCTCTCCCTTGCCGCTTTTCAATTCTGCCTTCTCGTTTTTCATCAGCTTCTGGTCATGCCAGCTCAGTTACTTTCTCTTTACACCCCTCGTTTTCTTTTTCCACAGCCAGGCCGCTTGGCATTGAGCGAAGACGGTGCCCTGCCAATGGCTGCCACAAGGGAGAGTATGGGGTTGGGCATGGCGTCTTAAGGTACGTCATCGCGCCTCTCTGCCCTCATTCCTCTCTGTATTTCCTCCTCAATTCTGCTGTCTCGTTTCTGTCACCTTCAGTTTCGTTTTGTTTTAATGGTCATGCCAGTTCACTCACTCACTTTCACTTTCCCCCATTCCTCCCCCCCAACCAGGTCAGTTTGCATCGAGTGAAGACTGTAGCAGATGAAGCTGAGTAGCAGACCGGCAGCAGCAGTAGCAGCAGCAGCAGCAGCAGTAGCGGGGGGTGGGGGGCTAGAGGGCAGGCTAGGTTAGGTCAAGTCGTGAGCGAGGTGTGGTATGGTATCAGGTAAGGTATGGTACCAGGTGAGGTATAGAGATCTGATCCCTTCCTTGCTCTTTCGCTCCCCCCCCCATCCCTTGCAGCCTGAGGGAGGGAGCACTGCAGCAAGGTCGGGACAAAGGCATCTCCCCTCTCATCCCCACCTCCCCTCCCCCCCCCTCCCCCTCACCCTCCCCTCCCCTCCCCCTTCACCTCCCCATTTTCCAACACTGCTGAGGCACCTTGGCGCTCTGCAAGGTACGTAGAGGTAAGCATGCATGGGGTGAACGGGGATGGTGGAAGGGGAGGGGGGGTGGCGGCGGGAAGCATGGGAGCAAGTGGGCAGTTCACTTCCTTAAGGGCAGCACTTTCTGTGGTTGTGCCTTGTGGGTCGGGGTGTGGTGGGTGGAATCTGCGCGGCACGGCACTCGGTGCTCAAGTAACCGATCTGGCGTTCAAGGCCTAATGGACACCGTCAGAGTCGACCGGCCGGCGACTCTGGTTCGCGTCAGCTCTAGCTACTTCGGGGGTGAGATTTGAGTCTTGGGCTGGAAGCAATTTTCCTCTCACTACAACACCTCGCCCTTCAAGGCACGGCCCCTGGGGGTGCTGTTTCCGAAGGGGAGTGGGCTGTCTGCTGCTCCTACTGCTGGCAGGTAAGGTGGGGAGGGACTGGGTGGGTTTGGGTGGTGGTGGTGGTGGTGAGAGGCAGTGGGGTTGGCGGTGGCATATGATGAGCCATATGGCACTGATGCCACCTGTTGTTGGTGGCACATGATGAGTTGCACTGATGCCACCTGTTGTTGGTGGCACATGATGAGTTGCACTGGTGCCACCCTTTCATGATGTGCGTGAGTGGGTGAAAGGGGCTGAGTCTTCTTGGGTGGGTGAGAGCAAGTGAAAGGGGCTGAGTCCCCTTGGGTGGGTGAGAGCAAGTGAAAGGGGCTGAGTCCCCTTGGGTGGGTGAGAGCAAGTGAAAGGGGCTGAGTCCCCTTGGGTGGGTGAGAGCAAGTGAAAGGGGCTGAGTCCCCTTGGGTGGGTGAGAGCAAGTGAAAGGGGCTGAGTCCCCTTGGGTGGGTGAGAGCAAGCGAAGGGGCTGAGTCCCCTCGGGTTGGGTGGGTGAGAGAAAGTGAAAGGGGCTGAGTCCTTTTGGGTGGGTGGGAGCAAGTGAATGGGGCTGAGTCCCCTCGGATGGTTAGGAGCAAGTGAAAGGGGCTGAGTCCCCTTGGGTGGCACTGATGCCACCTGTTGGATGAGTATGAGTGGTTCGAGTGGTGAGGTTGGAGTGATGAGATAGAGTTGCCAGAATGGTATCAGTGTGGTGACACTGTGGTGAGAGAGAGTGGATACAATGAGTTGTAGATCAGTGTGGTGAGTGGTGAGAGCGCAGTGAGAATGGGTGTCGAGTGAAAGTTGATTTTTAGTGAGGTGAGAATGGTGAGTGGTGGAGGGGTGGGAGTGGCGAGGTGGAGTGAGTAGTGGGAGTGACTCGTCAGAATGAGAGGAGGGAATCAGTGGTGAAGAGTGGTGAAGACTGGGGTGTGCTGGTGAGTGGCGGGATTCAGTGGTGAAGGGAGGGGGTGGTGCAAATGAGTGAAGAGAAGGAATGAGAGTCGACATAGAGTGAGCAGTGACAGTGCAGTGCAGTGAGAAATTGGGTGTCAATGAGTGGTGGAAGTGGAAGGGAGTGCTTCAGTGTGCAGTATAATGGTAGCCGTGTGCGTGCTGAATAAAAGAAGCATGCACATTTGCACGTGTGCATACAGGTGTGTGTACAGTGTTCATTCGCTTGTGGTTTATGTGTGTAAGTGTGAGTGAGGGTGATTGATGGAGTGAGAGAGTGAGAGTTTAATTGTGAGTGATTCCGAGTGAGTATATGGGAGTGACAGTGAGTGTGAGTGTGACTTGTGAGCAGAAATGTGTAAGAGTTAGTCTGAGTGAGTGAGTGACAGTTTGTGAGTGAGTACTGCGAGTATGTTGTGAGTGTGGGTGTATGTGAGGGGTGGTGACTGTGTGTACATGTGAGTGAGTGAATGTGTATCTGGCAGGTAAGAATGGCATAGATGTCCAAGATGGTTGGTTTGGGTGTGGCAATGGCAAATGCCAGGCCTTCGATCAAGGCTGTGGCAGATTTTCATCGAGCACAATCGATCGCGATTGCCTGGCGGTTGTGGAAAAATCACTGCTGGACGCTGGTTTGGTGCTGAAATAGGAGTTGGATGCATGAGTAATCATGTTCTTCCTAGTTGTCAGAATTATATTATTGTAACTGCATGTAGATCTAGCAGTAGTGTAGTTATTGCATTCTGTTTGGTGGTTTACCCCTTTTCCTCCTATTTGTACTCCAAACTCTATAGTGAAACATCTCTTTCCTTGCCTAAACTCTCTCGACACTTTCTCCTCTTCACCCTAGCATGGCTCCTCACCTCTAGCTACTATCTTGACATGGTGTCAGAGCTGGTTC